AATCACTAGTCTTATCCTTACTCGTTCCTAAGCTTCAAGGGCGATTGCTCGTATGAGTGAGCCAATTTTGCTTGCTGACATTATCATCTGCTAATCATTATGCCACAAACCATAATAGCATCAATATTCCATAATCTCACAAAAATAAATGATCGATTGAAAGCAAGACAACCACAGTTTGTGCAATTCTATATTCCAAACATAAACCTTATCAACAACTTTTGCAATAAACATATACAACAGAATCCACCATATGCGCCTCACATGAAGTAGTTTAAGATCACTACCTTTTGCGCAACTACCTTTCTAAAGATATTTTGGTGACCAATTTGAATTCATTCAAGATGCGTCTAACTAGCTCATTAAATCTTACAGGGAGCAAATGTATACATTACTAGTAAAGCATCCTACCCACTGTCTAATGAGTAAGGTTAATATCTAAACTACTCAGTTGACCATTTACAAAAAAAACACTCATCATGCCGAATACGCCCACATAGCATACTTCAAGCTCTCACAACAAAAGATCAAGGAATATAGGTTACTTGTTTCTCCTAGAAACAATATGAGGATTCACTCAATAGCTGAGACTCTAACTTTTCCCGATAGATGAGTCAATGGGTTTGCAATTTTGTATATAGAATCATTCTTGGATATTCCTTATGTAAGTCATCAAAGACAAACCGAGAATTTTCCCAGAACAATCCCTAAGGATCGTACATCTGAGTGTGTAAAGTACATCACCTATGTCCATCATGTGTAAAACAGAGGACTAAAGACCTTAGGTGGCGACAAGCTTATAAATTCGTATAAGATATCTAAAATATCATTTTCCGTTAAGTTTAGTAACTAAAATACTTTCTCTCTTTTTTTTTTTTTTTACAATTTTACTTAACGAAAATAGCGAATAATTTAGATTGAAAACAAGTTAAAAAATAAGAATTTAAATTGAAAATATTTAAAATTTATGATTTATTTTGTTATAAGGATCCAATCCTGAGATTTTTTTGTTATTTTTCTTATATATATATATTGATAATTGGTGAAAAATCCACTCCCATGAGTCATATGTTTAATGCTTCCATAAATTTTTTTTAAAAAAAATGATATGTTTAATGAAATTGTTTGGTGAGAAGGATAAAAAATAAAATAAAAAAATAAAAAATTTTGAAGAACTTTTTTTTTTTTTTAAGAACTTTTTTTTTTTTTCAATTGTACCCATTATTGAACATCGTTGGACAGACTACCTCCATAGCCATCGAAAAGTTTGCTGATGCTAAAAAAGTGGCTAGCATTGGCTAGCAGCTGCAAGCAGTAGTCGATAGCGACGATGCTAGTGATGGTGATGTGGATAAGCTAGGTAGATTAGGTGCACAAATACACATATATAGACAAACAATGAGATGACACATAGATAGATAGATAGCGTAGACAGATAGAGATGAAATGATTTTTCAAATTATAATTGTCATTTTGGCCTCAAAAGAATAAAGATTGAGCGTGGCCCAAAAATTTTAAAATTGAACCCCTAGCCTAAGTACTCATTCCCCCCTCCCCCTATCTTGTTTAGTTTAAGAAGAAAAAAAAAAAATTATTTCATATTATATTACTAAAATAATTTTTATAAGTGCCAAATTTTTTTTTTATTTCTTCTATATTTAAAAAAATAATTTTGGTATTATGATTTTTTTTTATTTATAATTTTGTTGGTTTATATTATTGATCAATCCACCTACTTTTAGAAAGATTCAAAATTATAGTTAGTTATGTTAAATTCTCTGATATGCAATTTTAATACAAAATTATATAATTTGAATACAAATTTGCGTAAGTTTTCATGAATTTACGTGAATTTGTATTCAATTTACGCATTTTTGTAATATCACATATGTAAGTATGTAAAAACTTGTTTAATTTTGTGTTAAGAGTTGCATGCACACTAAAACATTTTCCGTTATGGTTATAAGAGAAATTTCACTCTATCTATCTCCTTTTTATTTATCCAAACAAGTAATATGAATTAAGCTAAATATATTTCTTTTATTTTCTTCACAAACCATCCAATCCAAAATAGATTATTTTTCACAAATCACCCAATCCAGATTAGATTATTAGAAATATCACAAAGATAATTTAGTCAAAGGGTACTTCTAAGGACACAATTTTCAGGAGATTTTTTTTTAGTTAATTAATAGGACAATAATTACAAGTATAAAAAATATTATATCACTCACAATAATTAAAACGTTAACAAAGCTTACTAAATTCAAACCCAACAACCACTCAACCACTAGTTTCATACAACTCCATAATAGAAAAAATAAACTCTATCAGAAAAGATATCAAATTCCTCTCCATATGAATTGAATCTCAGACTTTACAAAACAAAAAAGTGTTACACAACTTTTCCATGGGTTTTGTACCTCTTTTTTCTCAATTCTCAATGCAATAACTTTATCTAACAAAAATCAATTGTTTTGAATATCAATTACTGAATAAAAACTAGTTGTTTTCTTATATCAAAGTACAAACTGAATTTTTATTTAGTAGTTGATATTCAAACAATTAATTTTATTTAATAGTTGATATTCAAACAGAAAAATAACATAGATTGATGAATTTTGTGAAGTGCAAATGGAAGCTCTCACAATTTTTTAGGAGCTTCAAAACACTCCCACAAATTATATTTGGACCCCATCATTTCATATATTTTTTAAAATCATGATAAAATTTTTAAAATCTGTTTCTCTCTTTGGTCGTCTAAGTTTGAACATTCGACATTGATTTGGCATAATGAAACCATACTCCAGTCATTTTTCTAGCACTGGCATGGCCAATGAGAGAAGCAAAGTGGTGAGATAGAAAGAGAGTTTGTAAAGGGTTAGGAAGGAAAGCTAGTAAAGGGTGAGAGATGAGATGAGAGGGTCTGAAGGTGGCATGATATGAAGGATAGAGAGTGGCAAGTGGTGATGCGGTGGTGGAAAAAGTTTGTTGAAAGTTGGGGTTGGTGGTACGGTTGTAGTAATAGTGGAGAAGTGGGAGATGATGGAAAAGGTTGAAGAGGTGGTGGATGAATTAGGTGTGGGGTTTAGGAGGATTTGACAAATTATGGATGAAAATAGTTTTAGAATTAGAAAGGGGGCTTCAAAGAAAATTTTGTTAGTGAGAATTCAAAGAATGTGGGAGCCAAAAGATATTATGTGAGAGCATTTAGAAGCTCTCACAATATTTTTTGGGTGTTTACATACACCATGGGTTCAACTCATTACGTCTCTCATTTTAATTTTGGATAAATTACAAATACATCTTTTGAAGTTTGATTAAAATACGAATCGTCCCTGTGGTTTTGAAAATTACATTTCACCCCCTGAGGTTTCTAATTTCATAACAAATCGCACATTTTATTAATAAATCATCAAGTCAATTAATAGTTTTTAATGATGTTAAAAATATGTTTCAATTAATAATTTAGGTAATTTTATTGTTGTATATGAGAGCAATTATGAATTTTATTTTTTTAATTAATTCTGTTAAATAAAAAATTCTAATAAAGAGGTATTTGTAATTTTTCAAACCACAAGGGGCAATCTGTATTTTAAACAAACTTCAGGGGGTGTATTTGTAATTTACTCTTTAATTTTTTATTATAATCTTAACCTTTTTATCTTTAGAGATTAAAAACATAAAAAAAAGGATGAACTACAAATACATCCTATGAGGTTTGATTAAAATATAAATCACATCTTGTGGTTTTAAAAATTATATTCTACCTCCTGAGATTTCTAATTTCATAACAAATCGTCAATTTTATAATTAAATCAAGTCAATTAATAGTTTTTAATGATATTAGAAATATGTTTGAATTAATAATTGATGTAATTTTATTATTATATAAGAGAGCAATTATGAATTTTATTTTTTTAATTAATTTTATTAATAAAAAATTCTAACAAGAATGTATTTGTAATTTTTTAAATTATAGTACTATGGTAAATCTTAAGATGTGTATTTATAATAATTTATTTTTACACCCGTTTCTCTTTCTTCCCAACACCCACCACCCATCTTTACCAACCACCTCCACCAACTAGCCGAGTTCGGATCCTCTCCTTCACTTTCTACTGACAACAACTGAGATCAGCCGGTCTAAATCCAACGGCTATAAAAAAATAAAAATAAATAAAACAAATTGAAAAAGTTATTTTCCCGCCCAAAGCTATACAACTTATACACTGAGTTTTTGTACTCACTCTCACTTAGCCCCTTTCTTCTCCATCAAATCCACCCTCACTGGCAACCCACTCCCGACGTCGACCCACTCCCAACAATGACGAGAAGCTCCTGAAAGCCAACCGGCCGCAACTTTCCTTCTTAGCTGAACCCACCCTCTACTTTTGTGTTGGGTGGGAAAATAGCTTTTTCAATTTGATTTAATTTTTATTTTTTTTTATAGCCGTTAGATCTGAACTGACTGATCTTAGCTGTTGCTCTACTTTTGTGTTGGGTGGGAAAATAGCTTTTTCAATTTGATTTAATTTTTATTTTTTTTTATAGCCGTTAGATCTGAACTGACTGATCTTAGCTGTTGCTACTAGGAAGTGAAGGAGAGGCGTTAAGGAGAGGATCCAAACTCATGCCACCATCACTTCTCCTTCACCAACCACCACTACCCTCCCCCTTCTCAAAAAAAAAAAAAAAAAAAAATAAAAAAAAAAAAAAAAAAAAAAAAAAAAAAAAAAAAAAATTTAGGAAACTCAGTCAAAAACATTAAAAATAGATTTTATACAATATGTTGGTGTTTAAGAGATGTTTGGGTATAATTTTCTATAATTTTTTTGTGTAGTTTAATGCTATTTGCAAATAATGGAATTGAAGCTCCGCTCAGTTCTAATTTGCCAAACAAAACAAGATTGCCGAACAGCCTCCCATCCAAATCTGGATTAGAGGGAAGCCCAACCCTAAATATAAATATGCTATAAAAAGTATAGACACATCTCACATCCTTGGTGATTAGTCAATGGATTAATACAAGAAGAATAAAGTTCTCCAAAAAACCAAAAACTACTTTCATTACTAATTGACTGCAGCCAGAGGATTCAAAATTCCATACAACACTGATGTATCAATTTTCAAAACAAAAATGACTTAAAAAGTGCGGACGAGTCTCAAGTAATTCAAAGAAAAATACCCACCATTATCAGTGGACGAAAAACTTTACTCGCCGAAGAACACAGCAGTTGGATTGCCTGGGGATGGTGGATTCTGATTTAGAACCGAGACATGGGACCCAGCTCTTGCAACAGCATCAGGATCTACTATGGACAAAATCTCCAACCGCTCGAGACCTAGCTGCCGCTTGACCAACTCTGAGTTCTCCTCTAGTACCGCCTTCTCACCAAAGGGCAGCCTCAAATCCAAAGCCTGAACCCCAACATCAATGACTTCATCTTTCTTGAACTTCAAGAAAGGCATACAAAGCTTCTGGATCTGCTTAAAATTCGCTTCCCGCCCAATTTCACTCTCCTGCAATGCCTTAACGATCTCTTGGTGAGGTGCAAAACTGCACGTGGCATTGTCAAACTTGCTTCGAAGTATGTTCAAGCATTCCCTTTTCCATCCATCATATTGCTCGTTCACAAATATTAGTCCAACCATTGGTTTGTTTTGAAGACTCGATAGATTTACCTTGGCTTTCTTTGAACCCGACACTTGTTTCTGAAGGAGCTTCCTCATTGAGACAATCGTGTCTTGCAAATATTTGTTGGCCTTTTGAAGGGTAAGATCGGGTAAATCAGCTTCAGGAAACCCTGCTTTGATGACTAAGCTGTTCTTCTTCAAAAGGTCATTCCAGACGTATTCAGCGTAATGTGGGCAAATCGGAGTTATAAGCCTTGTTTGGACATCCATAAACTGAAACACTAGATCCCGGTTCATACCCCCTGAGCCACAAGAAAACCTGTATTCGTCCCGAGCAGTTTGCAGATCATAAAACCCAGTTTTAAGAGCTTCCCTGAACAAATACTCGTTATAGTTCTTCTCAGTCATTTTCACAGCAATGTTTATCTCATTAGCAAAAACACGATCAGCAAAAGTAGTAGGGGGCCCACTTCGTAAAGATGACTCGGCTGAAAGAATTTCCTGCATCCATGCTATCTCTTTTGTGAGCCTTAAGATTGCAGCATTGGCTGTTTCAAATACGAAGTTTGCATCGTCCATTCCGTCCCCGGCATCAGCAAGAGAGAATCTAGTGGCATCAGCTGAGAATTCCTCAATAGCTTGGCGTAATGTCCTAAAATTCCCTGTAGACTTGGACATTTTCTCGGAATTTAGCATAATGTGTCCATTGCATCGAAACCCTCGAGGCCAATGGTGCTTGGGAAAAATTGCTGTGTGGTTATAGATGCAAAAAGTGAGATGATTCTGAATCAGATCTTTACCTGAAAGGGTGAATTCGAAATGTTAGTATGATGATATCAAGGAAAGAAAAGATGGATGTATGTAATATCAATATTGTCGATCAATCAACAGAAAAAAAGAAAAAGAAAAAGAGAGGTAATTATGATGATGCAAAATTTACATAAAAAGGTTGTCACCACAGTGTTGAAGTGTTGTAAGCAAAGTTCTGAAAAACGGTTGTGGTCGCTGTAACGGTGGCGGTGGTGCGGTTGCGGTTGTGGGGTGCAAAGGCCGTAGCGTAACGGTTGCGGTAACCGAAACCGTAATTTTTTTTATTTTTCGCACAACTTCAAAAAAACTTACCGATACGCATATTTTTTTTCCATGATCATATTTATTGGATTTAAAATAAATATTGATAAATTTTTTTAAATTTTAAAGTATGATACAATATATTTCATATTTTTAAATCACTATAAACTGAGTTTTTTTACATTTTATTTTAATAATTAATGACTTTATATTATACAAAAAATTAATCACTAACTATTATATATAAGATAAACAATGACAAAAGTAAGAGAATAAATAAGAGTCTAAATATATATATACATATTTTAACAAAGCCGAATAGATAATGACCATAATTATTATTATTATTATTATTAAACAATATATAGATAGACACACACAAACAAAATGGTTGAGTGATAGCAGCTGAATAGAATGGCATAGGTCTTACAGTTTCTACAAATTAATAACATGTTCCTCATCTTTCCTCTTCTCTCTCTCTATCTCTTGCTCCTCCATCTCTTTTTATCTTCCATCTTCTCTCTATCCCTTTTTTGCCATTTTCAGATCTTTTTTTTTTTGTGTATTTTTTCGAAAGAAGCAGTTCGGAACCGTTACGTAACGGTGTGTAACAAGCCGTCACAACTGTTACGGCGCCGTTACGACCGCTATGGCAGCTGTTATGGCCGACACACCTGTGAATCTCAATCACACTGCAAAAGCGGCCATAATGGGTGGCAGTAACCACCACAACCGTTACGTAACGGCGTTATGTAACGGTTGCAGCCGCTTTTTTAAACCGTGGTTGTAAGAAAACACAGACTACCATGTTGCATCTTTTTTTTGGGCAAATTACACTCATAGTCTATATAGTTTGCATCAAGTCAATTTAGTCCTTACAGTTTTAATTGCATCAGTTTTACCCTTTAATTTTTTACATTGAATCAGTTTAGTCCAATTGATTATTGCCTTTGGAAATGAGACTGAAATGAAGGGGTAAAATAGTCCATTCACTCTTTATAGTGATTGAGGAGTTGATGTCGAATTGATTTTACCCAATTTCTTAACACATTATCAATTTAACTAAAGTGACACAACGAGAACAATTAAAAGGCAAAATTAATACAATTGGAACTACATACACCAAATTGACATGAGGCAATTTACAGAGGACCACATGTATAATTTGCCTCTTTTTTTTTCTTTTTTTGGGTTGGGGGTGTGCACATGGTGTTGGTAGGCATCAATCAATAAGAACGGAGAAAAAAAAAACATAAAAAACAGAGAGAGAAAAACAACCTGAAACTCGAAGATCAAACGGATACCAATATTTGAACTCCTGCCTCATCTTATTAAGAAGAGTAGAAGATATATCTGATGATTTAGGGTAAGGGCCATCGCAAAACAAAAAATCCCAGACCTCATCGGTCAACTGCTCTGGCTTCACCGATGAAGTATCGCAGCCATACATATCACCTTTTTGTAATAGATGACAGACAGTATAATATGCCATGTAAATGGTCGAATCAGACAAGGACTCCACAAGAAACTCCTCATCCCAAGGAATACGAGACCCAAGCCCAAAACTACGTGAACATGCCCACTGATTTAGCCAGCTCAATGTATGCACAAAGCCATGCCGAGTCTCATCACAGAAGAGATTCATATTAGTCAAGCACTCCTCTGCTGCCTCCTTCCAATTTGGTTCCCCGTAAGTGATGTACCATTGATCAGTCAGAGCCACAACACACTCATCCCCAGATCTTGAGATGACTTTCTTCTCAGGCTCACTGTACATCACAGCTTCTCCAAATTCTAGAATCTTGTTTCTGATCAAATTCTTCGCATCCTGGACTCTCATCCCTGCATATTCTCCTACAAGCATAGTTCCCTCATAGAACCCTCCTTTGTAGATTTTTTTCTTGGCCTCGTCAAGCTTCTGCCTCTCATTCTGGCTCTTGATCTTCATGTCTAAGCAAACCTTCTCAGCAGATTTATCTCCAAATTCAGGGGTGTTAATGATTGGAACGACATCAAATGGTAAGACCCACTCGTCCTTCACACCAAACTTAGCCCTGAAAGCCGGTTTTGATTTCAAGTCATGAAGAGTCATAAAATCATCAGGTGAATCACTGGGCACGCTTGTCACAATCCCAGTACCCTTGTCAGTGAGAATTGACAGCATAGGTAGAGAATAAATAACCTCATTGAATGACAAAGGAGATCTTAAAGGCAAACCAATTAAATCGTTACCAATCAGCTCAACCAAACAAGTAGGCTTTTCCGGGACTCGTGACAGTTTCTGATATGCAAGATTAAGAGCTGCCCTTTCTGTCAAGATAAAAACATCATTTTCATTGATCTCAAACGCTCCATATTTCCCCTCAGGTAATACCCATGCATTTGTTTGCCCGTACATAGTCTCAGGTCTCAATGTTGCAGCTGCTAGGTACACTTTACGGCCCTCCAGAGTCCTCAACATTGGAGGAAGAGGTGGGATAACCTCCATTTTTATGAGAGTGTATTCTTGGGGAATAACACCTTCCCCTGATGCCCGATCATGATCAGCGCATGGCTGACCATCTAAGGGGGAATAAACAGTGTATCTCAGGTCCTTGACAATTTTCCCCAACTCCTTCAATTTCCTCATCTGCCACCGAACAAACGAATCAAAAAATGGGTTCATATCAGTTGTGATAAAAGTGCGTCTCCAATCACAGCCAAGGCCAAAAGCCTTCAGGTCTTCTACAGCTAGAGGGGGAAAATAAGACAGCCAGTAATATGGGTCCTGAAACTTGGAAATCTCGTCATCAGAGAGGCCATAACTCTGCATTATCTCCCACTGGTACTTATCACCGCCTGACTTGGCTGCTGCCTTGGACTTCTTGCTCTTAAATTTATCTGGTGCAACCTGGTCCCCTGCATTAGATTCCTCTGGTTGTGGTTCTGGATCAATGCTTTTCTCCTCTGCTGCAGTTGGAAAAGCAGGTGGGTTACCAAATTTCTGAATCTCCCGGCAAATTTTATCAGCCGAGGCCTTAATTGGCATCCCAGTACAATGAAAAGCAAAAGGTAAGAGCACATTGGCACCCCTCAGTCGGTGATAGGCTGCAGCAAATTCAAGTTTGGAGAGCGAGAATGCATGGCCCAAGTGAAGATAGCCATTCATGTATGGGAAAGGGAAGTTCCCAAAGAACTTCTCACCCAATTTGGGAGGCATTTCTAGAGAATCAGCCCTGAAAACTTCTCTCTCTTCCCACCACTTCTGAACCTGTGCCTCAATTTCCAGAAGCCGGTCTCTTCGTGCAAAGCTCTTCCCACCATCAGTGTTTGATGCCATCTCCTTACCAGCTATTGCTGTCTGCTGATCAACAAATTGACAGAAACTGCAGAAAAACAAACAAGGATCTTTAGGATAAACAATTAGGGGTGTACAAAATTCAGTTCGGTTTTGAGGAAAACATGAGAAACCTAAGCATAGAAAATGAAACAACGTAATCAACCTGTACGCTTTTAAAAAAAATTAAGTAAAAAGATTAAACATGTAATTTAAAGATAATGAATACATTTAAACTTGTGATGGAAAATTGAATACAAAAACCTTGCCTATCCCATTGAAGACAAACAGAAATATAATCAAAACAAACATAAAATAAAACAACACAAAGACATCAATCAGATATTAAAAAAAGAAAAGAAAGAGGCATGAGATCGAATCACATAAGGGGTTGAGAGACAAAAGAGTCCAGAGAAAGAGAAATTAGAGATGAAAGTTTAATAATAAGTTTAAAAAGCTAACTTGGGGTCAAAGTAAAACAAATGGAAACAAAGAGAAGGAAAGTGAAGGAAAAAAAAAAAAAAAAACCTACACCCACTTGTATTAATATAAACCTGTCACCTTAGGTTACTATTCCGGTTCACAGTTCTGGGTCTTCAGATTCAGGGTGTGACATAATCTACACTTAAGACCATGCTTACTTTCTTTCTTACTACACCCTTACTCCAATGTTACTTCAAATAATCTCCAGTCTTGTGAAATTACCTACAAAACCCTTCACCGCAAAACTTGACAAGTGCTGAAATTTACATATAATAAAAAGTATATATTATGAGTATCAAAACCAAATTAAATTTGGTACTTCACATGTCTGTGTATGTAGTAAATACATAAATCCAAACAAATACCCTTAAAAAGTGTTTATATATATTGTATTTTATGGTGAGGATTGGAGAAATTGGCTATTTTAATGGTAGAGCTTTCGCAAAAGACTTGGTTAAATATTCTGAAATGATAAGCAAGGCATACTGAAAACCAAAGGAAAACTGAAACAATTGGGCTGCAGGATTTGGAAAAAATGGGGCAATTTATACAAAATTTTCATATGGTTGAAAATCAAAGGTCCAAAATAATACACCCTCAATTGTGCATTTATATACCATGGCTACTTCCTAACTATATTATTACTCCTATTTATTTACTCTAAATACCACAGAACTGGCCAAATACATAAACTATTTCTATTTGTATATGTAGCCTTTGTTTTCCCGCATAATTTGTATTTGTAGCTTTTGTTAATCATAATTATCAAAAAGGGAGTTCTCATTATTTAAGAAAATATGAATCAAAATCAACATTTGTTTTTCTAAGAAATTATCCAAACACATCCTAATAAATCTAATTCAAAAACTGCATCCACCAAAAGTTGAGAACGTTTCAAACAAAAGCCCTAATAGGCTAATTTATAGTAATCAAATTGACAAATTCATGCAATAGTAAACAGGAAACAATAATAGAAACATTAATTTTAAAGATTACGGAAGCTCTTAACTTTCAAGTAAATTACGATTCCAACTTTGAATGGAAGTAACTGCTATCTTCATAATAAAAAGGAAAATTTGATAACTCATTGAATGTAATTTGAGTGAGAGAGAGAGAGAGAGAGAGACACAAATCAATAATATCAGTGTGTGCTGTTATGTATATTACTAAGAAACACAAACACGGACATGCCACATAACATGGATAGGACAGGACACATGCACGCTGATACGAAATTTTTCAAAAAATGCATGAAACGACATGGGGGATTCCTGTTCAAAATATATAGTTTTATATATTTATTATATATCATGTAAATAAGTATTTTCATTCAAAGATAATAAAAAACACAATATAACACTAATTTTTATTGTTTAATACTAGGATTGAGATATTGGAGCTTCCACAAAGCTTGTGAGTTAAAAACCCCATTTTCCTTATATAACATATAGATGTATAGATCTACATTGTTTTTCGTTTTATCATTAGATCCCAAATAATTTTGTTAAAATTTGTTCATGTATCTAAATAAAAGACACATACATCCCTCAAGTGTCTAAAGCTTGTTTGGGTCAAATTATTATTTTTTGAATAACATGACACATTTGGACTGTATTTGACACATGTGAAGAAGTGTCCGATGAGTGTCGATGTTCGACATGTGTCCAACACGAACACACTACGTTCTTAGAAGTGTCTTTTCTTCTTATGTGTACAGTTGTGGTAATAATGGAGCTACATCGTCATCTTGGTGATCCTTTTCTATTATTGCCAGTTTTATCTGTCACTAAAGAAAGATGGAATAATATGTATAGATCTACATTGTTTTTGGCTTTACATTAGATTCAAAATTATTTTATTCAAATTTGTAATGTGTTTTATGTATGTTTAAATGACGGACATGTATCCCATAAGTGTCTGAAGCGTGTCCGGTCTAAACTTTTTAAAAAATAGCATGACACATTTGGGTGTGTATCTAACATATGTCGAGAAGTGTCCAAAAAGTGTCGATATCCGTCATGTGTACAACATGAACGTACTACATTATTATAAGTGTCCATGCTTCGTATGCGTGTAGTTGTGGTAATAATGGAGTATGTGTGTAGTTATGGTAATAATGGAGCTGCGTCATCATCTTGGAGATCTTTTTCTACTATTGCAAGTATTATCTGTCATTCATTTTCATATCTATCTTTTTCAAATTTCTTTTATTGCAAGTATTATCTGTCATTCATTTTCATATCTATCTTTTTCAAATTTCTTTTTTCTTTTATTGTTCAGGCGAGTATAAGAATTGCATTATTACGAGGGCAATTGAAGCTTTTTTTTTTTTTTTCTTTTTAAAAGGAAATTATTAAAGGTGAAAACTTAAATATAGTTCCATTAATATAGGTTGTGTTAGTGGGTGGCCAATAGAATTAAGTCACGTGACCAACACTGTGTGGCTCACCATTAACTCATGATTGGGCAAGATAACCACATGGCTAACTGTTATTAAAAGAATGAAAAGAATTTTTTGGCTTTTTCATGAATGAGGTAGAGGCCATGTATATATAATAAATTCATGATACAATTTAGGAAACGATATAAATAAGGAAACAATATTAAATCAGTGATTGACACAATCACAGATTATATACATAATACTGAAAATAAAAAGATTCTATGTACTCTAATTTCTATATTCAATACTCCCTTTCAAGCTCGTGTGAAGATATTTAACAATCGCAGCTTGCCAATGGATGACTGGAAGAAGCCGGAAAAAACTCAACAGCTAGTCCAAATAAATGCTACTGAACAAATTCGGTAATCCACTGAATAAAAAAGTCAAAAAGTGCTTAATACATCAGCACCACACCCTAGAAAAGGAAAAAAAACAAGGACTGAACTGCCCTAGAAGAGTTGTCAAAGCATCTACGGCTAGGAAACACCTCGGCCGGCAACCAACAAGACCTTGGTCAGCATCAGAGGCTAGAGCTAATGTCGGGAGATAGTTTATGGTGGTACTAGACTGTTGTAAAAATTGGTCGGAACTAATGTCATGACAGTTTAAGGTCATGCTAGACCGTTGTAGGAACTGATCGAAATTAATGTCGAAACAGTTTACGGGGTCATATCGGACCGTTATAGAAACTAACCGGAATCAATGTCGGGACAGTTTAAAGGGTCATGTCGAACGTTGTAGAGACTAACCGGAATCAATATCGAGACAGATTAAAGGAGTCATGCCGAACCGATGTAGAGAACTGAATGTTGAACCAACAAGCGTGGCACACGCATAATTTATGACGTAATGCTGAACGATGATGACAATAGATGACTGAGTGTGCCAAGGGACGGCTTATTACAAAGTGCGCCAGGGGGGATGTGGCTTAGATGGTGCACCAAGGGGGCGACTTGGGTTGCGTGCCAGAGGGGGCAACATGGGTTGTGCGAGCGGCTTAGGTGGTTCACATGGTATATCACCATGCTCACCATGATATAGGTATAATACCCCCTCAACACTCAAATAGGTTTGAAGATAGAAACCTATTTGAGGTTAAAATAGAGAGAGAGAGAGAGAGTGAGAGAGAGTGGAATAGAAACATACAAAAAAATGGATTGCGAGTAAAAAAAATATGATAGAGATATTTTGGATATGAATAAACTAGTGGATAGAGGAAGAGATTACCACAAAGTGATATTAAAAGAAAATATGACAGTGGAATGGGTTGAGGTCTGGCAGGCAGCCAAGGCAACGTTGCTGCCCGCTGGTAAGGCGCAAAAATACCAAGAGCTTAACCTATAGCTCTGATACCAAAAAGAATGAAAAGAATTATTTGGCTTTCCTATGAATTAGGTAGAGGCCATACATATATATAATAGATTCATGATACAATTTAGGAAACGATATAAATGAGGAAACAATACCAAATCAGTGATTGACACAATCACAGATTCACAGATTATATACATACTACTAAAAATAAAAAGATTTTATATACTCTAATTTCTATATTCAACATCATTAACCACTTGCACCACCTGCATGCAAATCTTTTTTCCATTGTTAAACCACCGATTTCAGTTAACAAGAAAAAAAAATGAGTGAAAGTTCAAAATAGCTCTTCTTTTTCTATGATTTCATTTGCTAAATCAAGCGCGCAAAGGTATTTTGATTTCTTATCTTAAACCCCTCCTTGGCTTCAATGTTACTAGCCTATTTCTCACTCTCTTTCACTCTCTGTGACCTATCCCCTTTTCTGTTCTTCTTCCTTGTTTCCCTTTTTTTCCTTGTCCTTTTGATTTGGCTCTTCCCTAAAAATCAGTTTGCTCAATGTTTTTCTCCCTAAATACCAATGACCACCACATAGTTTGGTGGAAATTGATTTTTTAGAAAAGACTTGATCAATTTTTCCCCAGATGGTGGCACTTCCTCTTTCTATAATTCTTCCATCTACTTCTTTCTTTCTCTAGCTTGATCAAAACATGTGAGATGTGTTTGGTTGTATGGTGATGCAAGAATACTAATCCTAGTGATGTGGTGGTGAGAAGAGTGCAAGGGCTTAGAGGTGGTAACTAAAACTGAACTTTTCAAAAATTAATAAATAAATAAAGGGAAAGAAAAAGAAAAGAGAGAGAAAGGAAGATCAACTAGCAGTAACATGTGGGAGGCATGTTTCAGGGAGGAAATGAAATTAATTTTTTTCCTCAATCTAAGTTCTAACAAATAAAACCATGAAAAAAACGCTAAGTTATGATTTTACACCATTTGGTTCCTTGTTAACTTGCCCCTAGAAGGGATAGGTTAACAGTACCCTTTGGTATATGTATACATATAGGTTGCTTCTAAATACACTTCTGTACAGCCACCTTTGTGAAGCACGGTTCCTATTGTGTAAAGAGGGACTGTGCTACACAAAGGTTATACACAATTTTTGTGGAATTTTTGTAGGGTGCAAGGACTGCGCATGGTTCCTATTGTGAACACTGTAGATGGTAGAATACATTTTACTTTATAGTAAATTGGAATAATATTTTTATTAAACAATTACGTGATTCAATCAAAATGGGCTCAGAAGAGAGAGTCAAGGGTACTATTCTACTCAACTTACACAAACATGTAAATATAACCCTATTTATATAAACATTAAAAACTTTAGATATAGAGGTAAGATTGTTAAGATTAAAGCATATCCTAAACGGATCCAGATTCTCTCCATTTCATATGGGAAACAACAATCTTGCCCTTATACTAAAACTGAGGTAAGCAATAAGAGAACTTCAAACATTTTCATCAGATTGTTTTATAAATCATTCATGCAATAGATTTCTAGGGTTTAGGTTCAGAAAGAAAACTAAGAAACAAGATATTTCTCGTCAGATTGTTTTATCAATCATTCATGTAAACACATGATCACAGATTGAACTAAAATTTGAATCAAAGAAGAAATCCATACTCTATTTTACATTGAAAATCATTTTTTTTTATATAGAACCATTTAGCATAAAAAGTTTACATCTCTCTAGTTTTCCGGTGCTTGGCTGTAAACCCACAAATATTTTTCAGCAGCCCAATACTTCAACATAATAGACACACAACTCAAATTGGCATTTTGTCAAACACAACATATACACATAATGGAAGCCCAATACTTCAAATTTATAGACACACAACTCAAATTGGCATTTTTTCAATACATAATGAAAACCCAACACCTAAACTTCTTAGACACACAGCTCAAATTGGCATTTTGTCAAACACAATACATGAACACAGTTTATCAAACTCATTCAAATACACAACAAAACTAGTCTATGTGCAAATGCAATTCATGCTTTTGTGAAGAGTTTTGGCGACAAATTAAGATCAACAATATTCAAAGTGAAAACTTCCTCAACACTGTCGAACTCAACTAGTGAAAAAATGACTTACGGATCTGGAAAATTTACAGGTAAAACATATTTTTATCATGTAATTTTGAAATGAATCGGAACAGAAAAAATAAAGCTGAAGCAAACGGCGCTTAGGGTTGGGGTTTTGCTTACCTTTTGAATTTGACGAAGAGAGGAGAGGACCACCACCTTTGCTGTGAGAGAAAGAGCGTGTGAGAAATGTCAAGCAGAAAACGCATGACTTGAGAATTTGGGTCAAAAATAAAATAAATGAAAATGTTTGAAGCGTTGGGAAAGGATAAATTACACTTTGCACCCCTATATTTTATATCAAATCTCACTTTGCTTCTTACACATGAAATTATGACAATCAACCCCTTATATTTCTGGTCAAATCCGAGTTTGATCCCTACACATGAAATCGTAACAATCAACCCCTTATACTTTTACTCAAATCTCTAAAACATATTTTTATCATGTAATTTTGAAATGAATCGGAACAGAAAAAATAAAGCTGAAGCAAACGGCGCTTAGGGTTGGGGTTTTGCTTACCTTTTGAATTTGACGAAGAGAGGAGAGGACCACCACCTTTGCTGTGAGAGAAAGAGCGTGTGAGAAATGTCAAGCAGAAAACGCATGACTTGAGAATTTGGGTCAAAAATAAAATAAATGAAAATGTTTGAAGCGTTGTGAAAGGATAAATTACACTTTGCACCCCTATATTTTATATCAAATCTCATTTTGCCTCTTACACATGAAATTATGACAATCAACCCCTTATATTTCTGGTCAAATCCGAGTTTGATCCCTACACATGAAATCGTAACAATCAACCCGTTATACTTTTACTCAAATCTCACTTTGGTCCCTATACAAGTGTCAATGTCCTTCTTCTGTTACTTTATTTTTAAATCTTTAACAAAATTTAATTATGTGACAAAAAATGTGACTACGAAATGAGAGTAAAAGAGAAAAATCATCTATGTTTCCCGCCAATACATTTTGTCTAACATGATAAGCATATGAGAGTTATATAAACTAATATATATATATATATGTTCGTATGATAAAAACTGGGATGAAAAGGCAAGAAAGTAGAGTTTTGAAATAAAATTAAAAAAAATGTGACAAAAGAAATCAAAGAGAAAGAAAGATAAATAGATAGAAGATTATGTTATAGTGAAAAATAAAATTTTGTGATTTCAATTTATACAAAACCCTAGTTCATATTCTTAATTGTTCATAATTTGCGTTTTGTTTTAGTCTAATACAATTATATTTTGATATAAATTTTGAGATAAAGTGTGTATTGGTGAAAGATTTAAATAATTTAGTAACATAAATGGAATATTGACGCTTGTGTAGGGATCAAAATGAAATTTTACCAAAAGTATAAGGGGTTGATTGTCACAATTTCATGTGCAAGGACCAAAATGAGATTTGACCAGAAGTGCAGGGGGTTGACTGCTAGGATTTTATGTGTAGGAGCCAAAGCGAGATTTGGTGTAAAGTATAAGGGTGCAAAGTGTAATTTACTCGTTGTGAAATTAGTGAAAAGTATTTTAAAGTATGTAAAAAAACAATCGAAAATTTTAATATATACACCTTTTAAAGATGTGTACCTAAATGTGAGAATTTGACACGTAATTCGTTAATACGATTCGAATCGTATATGTAATTAGAGGATTACTGTTAATCATTTTTTTACTCAAATCTGAATATGACACAACCCGAAAATAGGAATATTAAATGGGTCGTGTCTGAGTTGAACAAGCAAAATTCGAAATGAACACGTTTGACACGCATAAAAATTCGTGTTCACACGTTGACATGAACGTATTATTGATACACATGCAACCCAAATGCAACTTGAATTTAGTATTATTAAGATCTTGAGTAATTCATTCTCATCCGTTAGATTAAAACTTAAATCTCTATATAATATATATACCTAAGAAGTGCAATCCTAAATTAATAATTATTTTCATTGTGTGTAATGGATTAATGATGAATATTTTTAATTATTTTCATAGATATTAACATATATATATTATCATTGTGTGTTAATGTTTAAACAAGTTATTCTTATGCAAGTGAAGTAAAATAAGTTTTTAATTTTTAAGGTAAAATTATAAATACGCTCCTTGAGATTTGATTAAAATACGAATTGTTTCATGTAGTTATAGAAATTACATCTCGCCTTCTAAAGTTTCTAATTTCATAACAGATGACCCCTTTTATCAATAAATCATCAAGTCAATTAACAGTTTTTAATGATATCAAAAATATATTTCAGTTAATAATTCAGATAATTTTATTATTGTATGGGGGAGCAAGTATGAATTTTATTTTTCTTGTTAATTCTGTTAAATAAAAAATTCTTACAATGAGTATTTGTAATTTTTCAGGAGGTGTATTTGTAATTTACCCTTCTTTTTTTTTTTTTGCCTTTTCAATAGGCAGTATAATTTGCTTATAATCTGAAATATGAACTTTTGTTAACTGTATTAAGCGTGCCATGCTAGGTTGACACGATTATAAGTAGGTCGGGTCAGTTTCAAAATATTTGACACGTTTAATTAAACAGATTGTGTTAGTGTTGGATTGTCTTGAACACAAACCCGATATGACACGACACAACACAATTCTCACCCTTGCCATATGCACCCTTAATTATACCATTCTCTTTTTCAATTATAACGATTTTTTTCCCCTCTAATTATGTCTCATGTTGTGTTTGGTTTTGATATTTTTTTTAGTTATGACTCAAAAAATATAAAATTACGTCATTTTCTTCTTTAATTATAAGGTGCATTGAGTAATGAATACCATAGTATTTCCCCAAAACATACATCATTATTTTTATGTATGTTTTTCCTTGTATCCCAAGTCATTTTCTTGTGAGTTATTGTTAGTATGACCTAGCATTAAAAGAGTTATTGAATATGAAAGAAACATGTAAATTTTATTAGATTATTATTTTGTGAGATAAGGAAGAATGGACTGATGGTAATTCTATTTACACAACAAAATTAACTAATTACACAACAAATAAAAATTCAAAATTTTGATTTTATCTCTGTTACACCAACTATACGATCCTTTTTACACCACTAACTTTCAAACTCTAATTCTATCCATCACCTCCAATAGCTATTGTCGCCATCTCCGGTAACTGACCTACGATCCCTCTTTTACCGATGTCCTTTTCCACTACCGCCACTTCCTTTTAATTCCCTTTATAACTACCATTTTCAACCACCTCAAACTTCCATCCTCCATTGCGATAGCCTTCTTAGTTGCCCTCCACCTTTGTGACTCCCCTTCTACCATTTTCCTCCATCATCGCGTCTCTTCTCCCAATAATTTCATTTACTATTATTCTTCTCCTAGTGGTGACTCATCTCTGTCATGATCTAACCCACGATCCAACCCACGAATCCTTCATGCCCTCTGTCATCACGAGAGAGAGAGAGAGAGAGAGAGAGAGAGAGAGAAGTTTTAGAGATAGGATTTGGCAAAGAAGAACAAGAAGATGACATGAGGTCACGATTTGCAGGGAATAAGAGATGGTGCATAGGAGGTGGATGAAGGGGCTGGATGATGGTTCTGGAAGGAAGAAGGGTGGCAGAAAAATATGGGAAGGTTGTTAAAGGTAGAATGCGGTTGGCCGATGGTGGGACAAGGTTGTCGGAGTTATAACGATTCCGATTTAGACCTAACCCTTTTCATGTTCTTAGATCCGAAATTCCATGTATTTAATAGTTGTTTATAACCTCTTACTCTCATTGTTAGTTGAGTTTGGTTGTTTAGGAGTTGTTGGTTATGTTTGAAATAGGTTAGGAGTTAGTTTTTCAAAAGAGTTATTGTCCAGTCCATTGCTTCTTCGCTCGAGTGGTGTTTTGGTTGCTCGAGCAGTATTTGAGATCTCTCAGTATTTTGTAGGTCTGCAAAACTTTTGAGAGTAGGGTGATCTTTGCTTGAGTGGTATTTCTTGCGCTCGAGTGGTCTTCTACAGTTTGTAAAACTTCTGGGAGATGGTCATTGTGCGCTCGAGCAGTGTTCTTGGTCGCTCGAGCGGTGTCACTTATTGTGTTTGAAGCTCCAATGGTGGTTTGGTCGCTTGAGTGGTTTGTGCGTATATCAGATCGAGAAAAGGGAATTTTTATCACTTTTTCATTTCCTCTATTTCTCTAAAACATTTCTAAACCTAATTTCTTCACTCTTTCTCTCTAGTTCTTGCCTAAACACCTCAAATACACCCAAATCTATTGATCTTGCCGCTATTGTGCTCTGGAGAAAAGGTAGAACTCATTAAGGAGAACATTTTAATCGATGAAAACTTCCATTTTGATTCCGTCTCAAGTTAGGGCTTACTATCTTCTTCTCCTAAACTTGAGGTAGGGATTTCTTCTACCTTCTAATATGATTCTTAATTTAGTTATGTGTTCCTTATCAAGTATTGAGATTTGGAAAATGAGGATTTTGATTTTGAAATGTAAAAGAGGGGTTTTCAATGGGTTGTTGAGAAAGGTTGTGGGGATGTGTTTATTGTTGAGTAAAATGTTGAAATGTTGGAAATCTTTTCTTTAGAACTGCTTTTCGAAGTAAACAGTGTGTGATTTGAAAATCATAAATGTTTGATTTATGAAAGAAAAAGGAATGATGTTGGGTTTTTAAAATGATGAAATAAATTTATATGTTGATAATGAGGGTGGAGTTTGATATATGTATCACTCCCATTTTTAAAAAAAAATTATGAGATTATACTTGTTATGGAAATTATCTGTTGAGTAGAAATATCTATTTTGGGCTATTGGTGGAGGATAGCTTTGATTGTTGTAGAGATTGCATGAGGATTAGGTCAATTGAAACTAATTACTCATAAATCTTGCATTTGAGCATTGTTTCATACTTAAACATTGAAAATGTTTTGTTTTGAGAAAAAATGGTATATACCTTGGTGAATCTAATTAGAGGGTGTAGTTGTGGTTATTATGTTGGCCTGTGTGTCCTTGATGAAAGTCCAAAAACCTGTGTAGTTAGGTCGATCTTTTCAGTTAGTACGGATAAAATGACTTTGGTAGTGCTTGCATAACCTACTAGCAAACACATACCTACAAACACGTACCTAGAGATTCTCAATGTTTTGTAACCACTGCTCTATTTTCTAAAACATCCCCAAATAGTTCAGAGTATGCTCAAAATAATTTATCTTAGACCAAGTCATGAGAAATAATACATTTCTCTAATATTTTTCTAGATTCAACATCCAAAAAT